ATATTTGACATTCATGGCTCATTTAATTTCCTCTGAAAAGGCGTAGGTATGCCTTTTGTCACATTTGCTCAATAATGTTTCTTTTGTGAAATCCAGAAGGCCCTAGTGAATGTTTCAGTAGCTGGTTGCACTATATGACTCTTACAGTGGAATTCTTATTGTTGCCCACATTTTTCACATGTCGTTTTGGCTGTGGAGAGAGAGAGAAGGCTGAAAAAACACAACAGTTGTGCTTCTGTCAGCTAGAATGATTTATAATTATTATTTTCTTTCAATCATTGTACATATACAAGGTCTATTTTTCTTACTGTGTCCCACCACCCTTAAAGGGTTAGATCACCCAAAAATGAAAATTAGCTTGTGTTTTACTCACCCTCGAAGCATCCTAGGTGTATATGACTTTCTTCTTTCAGACGAATCCAGTCGGAATTATATAAAAAATGGTCTTTGATCTTTCAAGCTGTTTAATGGCACTCAGCGGGTGTTGCAGTTGAACAGTCCACAAGTCGTCAAATAAAGCTCGCGCACTCATAATAAAATGTGCTGAAGACGGCTCCGGGGGATGAATAAAAGCCCCCTGTAGCGAATCCATGAGTTTTTGTAAGAAAAATATCCATATTTCAAACGTAATAAACAATTTTCTCTCACTTCCGCTGACTGTCATCCACTGAAGCAGTTCCGGCGGATGACGTAAGACGTCGGCGTTGCGTGATAAGTGACGAATGCAGAGAGAGAACAAAACAAAACATTGGTCACGAATTAGAAGTACAAACCGAAGATTTGCAAAGAAAAAAGTCGGAGGATTTCGATATAAACAAAGAGGAGACTGGTTTTCCTTTGCTAAAGTAAGGAAACTTTGCTTCCTTTGCTCCTATTAAACAAACTTGCGAGACTAGCATATCTCAGAGGCGCGCGCGCTGCGCATACGTCATATGCCTTCCGCCGGAACGGATCTGCGTATGATAGATAACGGAAGTGAGAGAAAAGTGTTTATTACGTTTGAAATATGGATATTTTTCTTACAAAAACTCATAGATTCGCTACAGGGGGCCTTTATTCATCCCCCGGAGCCGTCTTCGGCACGTTTTATTATGAATACGCGAGCTTTATTTGACGACTTGTGGACTGTTCAACTGCAACACCTGCTGAGTGCCATTAAACAGCTTTACTTTATTTAAGTAAAACACAAGTTAATTTCATTTTTGGGTGAACTAACCCTTTAATAACTTTTACCTAATTTTTTAAAGGTGCTGACACATAGACACCCCCCACATAGACTCTTTGGGCCAGATTTACTAACAGCTTGCGCCATCACAAACCGTCTTTTGGCATTAAAATAGTACTGTCAGGATTTACTAAAGATGCGCAGTGAAGAATTTGAGCTGAAAAGGTGTGGACAGTTATTTTTGCACCTGACCTTATTGAATATGCATTTATAGCAGTTTCCCTTTCAGACGCAAACTTTATGCGAGGAGAGTATTAAAATGAATCACGCAACGTGATTTACTAATATTTGCCCTCGTCAAATTACTGGTATTTGCACCATTATTTAATTCCCAAAAAAGCATGTCTTAAAATATTTTGCGCCTGTGTCGTAAGTAGATCACCCGCACCTGATGAGCATCGGCTCTGCTTTTTTCGCCACTACGCTAATTTGCGCTGCGCTTGGTATATTGCGTTGGTCGATATGTAAATGAGATGTTGCGTCTGTGTTCTTTAATTTGCATGTTGTCAGTAAATCACTCGCAGAAATTTCAAAATTTCCCATCAGTGCTGTTTTGGAATTGCGCTCTCATGCTAATTATCCTTTGTTTGTCTTATTACTAATTATGCATGTACGTATACAATTGTATATGTAGTAATGCTCTGTTATGCTCCAATAATTAATTGGCTGAAAATCCATTTAAACATGTAAAAAATCCTCATCCTATAATCACAATCAACTGGAACAGAAAATTCATGAAAATACAGTGATCCACAGGTGTGGGAATCTAGATGATTGGCAAATGTAAGTGAGCCGATCTGTCAACACATTCACAGTAAGGACGGATGGGGATTGTCCGTCAGACAGCTCTTCCTGAATCTAGAAGAGATGTCGGTCATTCATTTATAACCTCTAGCACTGTCGGTGCCATGACGTAAAATGCAATGCTTCTGAATGGATGGAAAGTTGCCTTGTGACTAATATTGACAGTTTTTTTTTGTGACTGAATGGAGCCTTAATAGACCACTTTTAAATGAAATAGTTAATGTAAAGAACTACTCCTCTGGCTATTCTGCTGTGACACTTGTGTAAGATAAAAGTGTTTCCTGAGGTGCACTAATAATCTTATTGATTGAACACTTTCATAGTTAAGACGTAAATGGTCATTTTCTACCATGAATTTAGCCTCTAATTTGAACTCTCCGGTGGAAGGGGTGTATTTGTCTAAGACTTCAATCAAAACACCCGCTGCTGTGGTTGGCTAACATTTTGCATATGAAATGAGCACTACATGGGGAATTCTCTCAAAAACTGTGTTTTTACTATTACAGCCACCAAGATTAATAATCGTGAAAAGTGTTGATTGCAGCATCATATTCAGAGCTACTCTGGTTGCATCAAAGGTTGCAGTGCTGCACTATAGCCGGACACAGTCATGTCTACTCAGCACACAATGTAATGATCTCCTTATTTTTCCATCTTAACAAATACAGTGAAAACAATGTAAATAAGAGACTCATTGAGCAGTATTAACCAAGTCATTGTATATAACAGGAGTTTTGGTGAAAATGCAGAAATCAAATCACTGACAAGATTGATTGCTTTCTGCAATAATTACAATATAGAGAACATTTTGATTTTCCATTTCATGACCCCATTAACTAATTATGTCATTAATGCAATGAACTTTAACATTATACCTTTTAAATGACACATTTTGGGGCCACTGTATATTGGTTCCAAAAAGCGTTTGTGGATGGAAATTTATGAACTAAACTTACAAGAGCGCATTATGTGCAAAGAAAATTCTGCTCACTTTGTTGTGTCGTTTGGGCTGCGAGGATAAATCACATTAATATTCTCTCGCTGTCATACAGTACTTTATTGAGCAAAGCAAAATGGTTGATTTGTTCAAGGTTTTCATCCAAAGAAAACTCCCAAGGCTTTTTTTCCCCGGAAGGGCCATTTATTTTGTGTACAGCTTATCAACACTCATTTTATGACTTTGTATATGTGGAGGAGTTCTGCTTTATTCTCTAAGAAATGAATCACCTCGACAAATGAAGGGGCTCATTAAATTTGTAAATGAGTTTATGAAAGCTATTTGCTTACGGATTCAAGCCGTCAATGTGACAACTTAACTAGACAAGCTATGTGCGTATTAATGTTTGTGATGTTGACCGCTGTTAATCTAAGCAGTAGCTGTACTTTATTTACATAGATAGACTGACATTAGCAAATTACTAACAGCAGTTATGAGTTTGCTTGTATGCTTTTCAGCCTTTCGCCAACAGCTGACATTAAGCTGATATTCCTGCCTGATCTGACCCATAAACATTGCATTCATTGGCATATTCAAATTTAGTCAGGTTGATTCAGACATATTGGCCCGGTTTCACAGATGGGGCTTAGTTTATGCCAGGACTAGGCCTTAGTTAAATTAAGATATTTAAGCAGCTTTTACAAAAATGCATTAGAAGAAAACGTTACAGGTGTGCATCTTGACAAAGAACAATGGCACTGACATATTTTAAGATATTTTAAGACATTTTAGTCTGGGACTAGCTTAAGCCTTGTCTGTGAAACCAGGGGATTAAATATTATGTTTGTTAAATTAAATGTTTTTTATTATATATAGCTTTCTCTATTCTATCTACTTGTTTTCTTTTTATTTATTATATATATAAAACACACACACACAAAAACTTGCTTTGTGTACTGTGAATAGGCTAACCAAGACTTGTTATGGCACTTGCGTATCATTGCTCTTTTGTTCATTTTGATTGCTTCTGTTGTCCTCATTTGTAAGTCACTTTGGATAAAAGTCTGCTAAATGATTCAATGTAAATCTTAATATATATATATTTAGGTTGCCTTACAAATTAACTGATTTTAACAGTATAAAGCAAGCATAAAATACATTAATAATAATAAAAAATACTGCTGAATTGCTGTCTGTTACGTTAAAATGTATCCCTATTCTGAAATTATGCAAATCGTATATACATATGATAGTATATATTTAACATTTGTATATAATCATAGTTGTGCTTTTTCATCTCTAAACTATTGTAAATGGCGTCTTGATGTTTTGAGTCTTTGTAATTATATTTATGTGCTCACAAGCTGTCATTACAGCACAGACAGATAAATTAATATGTACTTGTAACTGTGTCATGAAAAGCTCCCGCAGTACCAGAGCTCAACCCTCTGAACGATTCTGTAGTTGAGATGTGATCTCATTATACCTTTGATGGCTTGGATGACATGTGACAAGAGGGAGTCTAATAGACAGCAGGTAAACTTGTAGGTGTAATGAATGATAAGATGGATAGGAAGGGATAAGAGTGATTTATAGCCTATCAGACGGTTACATAGCATTTCATTTAGAAAATACCTTAGTCTTTGATGTAAATACCTTAATATGGCAATATCATGGTATTACCACGTGATGCCATCACTTTACCATGGTACCACCACAGTAACACATTCTGTCATTAGAGTTGATCAACTCATCCTGTATTCACACATATTGTCATATTAGTAAAATCAATTAAGGTCAATATGTGTGTGTCATCCTCATGACATTCTATTATTATTGTACATGCTTAATTTGGGAGTGGGTGGTGTGAGTCTGTGTTATCACAACTCTAAAATAGGCCTACTTTTCTTTTTGCAAAATATATTTTTTCTGCTCCTTTGATTCTGAGAAATGTGAGGACTTGTGAGACCATTACGGTTGAATGGTTTGACACTTGGCTCGCATTTCATTAGTAACCAGCATGTGTGTTTTCAGTTTGTCAGCAGTGCGCTCTGCGATGAAACCCAAGCAGATGGTAGAGGAGCTTCAGACGGGCAGCCAGCGTGTGGAGAGGCGCTTCCTTCAGAGCCACAAGGAGACTACAAGACAAGGCTGGCATCTCTGATCACACAGACCAGGATCTCCATGCAAGATGTTCCCACCTCCATGAAACCCCAGGAGACACACATGTGATGCTTACAAGAGAGCCTGAACTGATCGTAACTGTGACTGCACATTAAAAAGCCTATTAAAGGCAGCACACGTCAAGCATCTTAAAAGCTATTCCTTCCTCAATTGAAGATGCACAAAGTAATTTTAATCGAAATGAATGAATAGTAAAATTATGTTTGCTTACAAACTCAAGGTCAGGTTTCACCCCAAAATCAAAAGTAAGAAGTAATAATAGTTCTATACAACAGACTCATTCATTTTTTTCTTTCTTTCTTATTTTGCTGTGAAATCTGACCAGTTGATAACTGTTTTAATACCATTCACCCAATAAGAGCATAAGAACTGACATGTAATCATTAGTGCACTTTTATGTACAATCATCCAGTCAAATAGTGATTGCTCTGAAATTGGCCCTACTGTCCACCAGTGGCGGTATTTCACAAAACCATAGGATATGTCAGTGGCGTAAATCGGGGGTGGGGGGGTATGCACATTACTAAGTTGAAAAAAGTTGGTAATGCATGTGGCTTTATCAGACACTTGCACTTAACATTTTATGAAAATCAAGCTCAAATGGAGTTAACAAGGTTTTTGATCAGCGAATGACGGAGATCTGTGTTTTGTCTGTCATTACAACGGCTGCATCTGAGGCAGCAAGTGCATCGCATTATACGCTTTCATCAACTTACAGGTTATAACATTTATTGTAGCTATATGGGTGCTTAGTTTTTCATGTCGTTTAATACACTTCATGATAGACGATGAAGCGCTATATACACAGGATATTTAAAACGTAGCCTACAAAAGTAGCTTATTGGTAACAACTAGACAGCAAAAGCTATTCTCCACTCTTCAAACACACACAAAAGATCAACCTTTATAAACAGTGTTTTAGTGAAGAAAACTTATTTATTCAGACATCATTTATTATTTACCCTTGCATTACGAACAAGCCGAGATCTATCTCCAGGCTTTGTTCTGAATGGAAGCAGGGTTAAGTTAAAAGGTTTTGCTGACAGTTTAAGGATCCATAGCGTTAAACAGTTTAGTGACAAGCTCTTTTGAATGCTTTTCATTGGTTAAATATTTGTAAAACCTTCAAACAGACATAAGGAAGACCAATAGCAGTGATTTAAAACGAAATATAATAGAGAATTTGGATTTTCCACGGCACACCTGACTGGGCTAGGGTATGGCGACTGCCTTACTCTGCCATACGGAAACGCCACCCCTGCTGTCCACATCACATTTACACAATCACAGTGCCTTTGATATAAGATGGCCTTTTCAGTTCATTCATTAAGAAAACATATACATACACATACCTCTCTGTAATGACTGAACTCAAAAATGCAAATTCATAATAGAACAGTGTCTATAATATAATATTCATGTCTAGGTTCTGTGGGCTTTAACATCTATCTGACATGGCTTCTTTCTCCAAGCACTCAACTCTAAAATACCCTTCCTTGCAAAACCCTCAAAGATATTTCATACGTGTCATTTTTTTCCACAATCAATTTTCATTTAGAGCACAAAATAGGCCTGAAATCTGATTACTTAAGCCATTTACTGCAGACACACAGTTCTGTCAAAAGCTGCATTAATGGTGCCTGAACAAAATCAATATTGGCCAGTCAATACTTGTTTGTCCGATTTTGATACTCTGTTCCAGGGTTTCCTAACTGGGCATTCACAATTTCAAATGATAATATAATATATAATATAATATAATATAATGTAATATATATATAGGTAATTATTCACACACTGAAGGGTGAAGAAAGCAAACCCTTGAATTTAGTAACTTGAATACTGACATATTTTCAGCATTTAAACATACAAAACTGAAGTTTTGACGACACCTAAAAATGAATCTTTATGAATATTGAAATCACGGCATTGATTTTATTATTGTTGTTGTTTTTAGTTGTCATATCAATGACCTTATGTTTTCAATTGCATTATTAAATTGTTTACTCTCTTAATATGAAATTATAACATTTCGTTCTGTTCTGTGATTTCTGCTGCCAGCTCATTTCCACGAATAGGCCTACATGTTGAACAAGACTTAACTTTAAACCCTTAAAATAAATAACATTTCTACAATCGTTTAACCTTTACTTGTCATGTAATGTTTGCTTTGTTTACCATGGGCCACAAAAGGCGTTTTCTCCGACATGCTCTGACTGACAATAGAACTATAAAATACACCAAAAACGCATAATTACGAAATGAAACAATTTTATTCGTGCGCTGTAATCCAAATCTTCAGAATCCATACGACTGCGAGGAACAGACCCAAATCCAAGCCTTTATTCGGCGATCTTCATCTCCATCCCGAGCAGCGAGTCCAGTGACCGTAAGAAGCAAAGCCTGCACCTCTCTTTACAAATGCAAGTGTTGCCACTTCAAACGACAGGTTTTACGGCAGGAAAATGTAATGCTCATTGCCTCTTGCCTTCTGCTCTGCACATCACAAACCTTCTGTATTCTGCCAGAGAGGACTGCGGCTGCAACGTATCATCATTTGGATTACTTTTGGTACATGCTTCTGACATTTTTGCAATAAATAAATTATTGTAATTGCATTTATCTGTCTGTCATGTTTTTCTTATACTGTACAGAAATAGTAATGTAGGAGTGGGATTAGCAACCATAAAAATATTTATAATGCTATTGTTACTAAAATTTTAATTTTCCTGCATATTTCGGTCAATTGTGTTTTATATCCTTTTATATTCGCGATAACATGGGTAGGTTTAGGTTTGGGGGTAGGTTAAGGGATCTAAAAATCTGAATCACTTATTGATAAAATGATAAAAATGCATCGATGCGAATTTCTTAATGATATAAAAGATACGTAAATATTTTATGTTTTTTAGCTAAAAATACGTAGCGATTTGCACGTTTTAAATGTTGAAATACGTCTAAATTGTACGTTTTAGCATCAATAAAAATTTCGGAGATCTGTGTTTTGTCTGTCATTACAACGGCTGCATCTGAGGCAGCAAGTGCATCGCATTATACGCTTTCATCAACTTACAGGTTATAACATTTATTGTAGCTATATGGGTGCTTAGTTTTTCATGTCGTTTAATACACTTCATGATAGACGATGAAGCGCTATATACACAGGATATTTAAAACGTAGCCTACAAAAGTAGCTTATTGGTAACAACTAGACAGCAAAAGCTATTCTCCACTCTTCAAACACACACAAAAGATCAACCTTTATAAACAGTGTTTTAGTGAAGAAAACTTATTTATTCAGACATCATTTATTATTTACCCTTGCATTACGAACAAGCCGAGATCTATCTCCAGGCTTTGTTCTGAATGGAAGCAGGGTTAAGTTAAAAGGTTTTGCTGACAGTTTAAGGATCCATAGCGTTAAACAGTTTAGTGACAAGCTCTTTTGAATGCTTTTCATTGGTTAAATATTTGTAAAACCTTCAAACAGACATAAGGAAGACCAATAGCAGTGATTTAAAACGAAATATAATAGAGAATTTGGATTTTCCACGGCACACCTGACTGGGCTAGGGTATGGCGACTGCCTTACTCTGCCATACGGAAACGCCACCCCTGCTGTCCACATCACATTTACACAATCACAGTGCCTTTGATATAAGATGGCCTTTTCAGTTCATTCATTAAGAAAACATATACATACACATACCTCTCTGTAATGACTGAACTCAAAAATGCAAATTCATAATAGAACAGTGTCTATAATATAATATTCATGTCTAGGTTCTGTGGGCTTTAACATCTATCTGACATGGCTTCTTTCTCCAAGCACTCAACTCTAAAATACCCTTCCTTGCAAAACCCTCAAAGATATTTCATACGTGTCATTTTTTTCCACAATCAATTTTCATTTAGAGCACAAAATAGGCCTGAAATCTGATTACTTAAGCCATTTACTGCAGACACACAGTTCTGTCAAAAGCTGCATTAATGGTGCCTGAACAAAATCAATATTGGCCAGTCAATACTTGTTTGTCCGATTTTGATACTCTGTTCCAGGGTTTCCTAACTGGGCATTCACAATTTCAAATGATAATATAATATATAATATAATATAATATAATGTAATATATATATAGGTAATTATTCACACACTGAAGGGTGAAGAAAGCAAACCCTTGAATTTAGTAACTTGAATACTGACATATTTTCAGCATTTAAACATACAAAACTGAAGTTTTGACGACACCTAAAAATGAATCTTTATGAATATTGAAATCACGGCATTGATTTTATTATTGTTGTTGTTTTTAGTTGTCATATCAATGACCTTATGTTTTCAATTGCATTATTAAATTGTTTACTCTCTTAATATGAAATTATAACATTTCGTTCTGTTCTGTGATTTCTGCTGCCAGCTCATTTCCACGAATAGGCCTACATGTTGAACAAGACTTACCCTTAAAATCTTAAAATAAATAACATTTCTCCAATCGTTTAACCTTTACTTGTCATGTAATGTTTGCTTTGTTTACCATAAAGGCGTTTAGGCGTTTTCTCCGACATGCTCTGACTGACAATAGAACTATAAAATACACCAAAAACGCATAATTACGAAATGAAACAATTTTATTCGTGCGCTGTAATCCAAATCTTCAGAATCCATACGACTGCGAGGAACAGACCCAAATCCAAGCCTTTATTCGGCGATCTTCATCTCCATCCCGAGCAGCGAGTCCAGTGACCGTAAGAAGCAAAGCCTGCACCTCTCTTTACAAATGCAAGTGTTGCCACTTCAAACGACAGGTTTTACGGCAGGAAAATGTAACGCTCATTGCCTCTTGCCTTCTGCTCTGCACATCACAAACCTTCTGTATTCTGCCAGAGAGGACTGCGGCTGCAACGTATCATCATTTGGATTACTTTTGGTACATGCTTCTGACATTTTTGCAATAAATAAATTATTGTAATTGCATTTATCTGTCTGTCATGTTTTTCTTATACTGTACAGAAATAGTAATGTAGGAGTGGGATTAGCAACCATAAAAATATTTATAATGCTATTGTTACTAAAATTTTTATTTTCCTGCATATTTCGGTCAATTGTGTTTTATATCCTTTTATATTCGCGATAACATGGGTAGGTTTAGGTTTGGGGGTAGGTTAAGGGATCTAAAAATCTGAATCACTTATTGATAAAATGATAAAAATGCATCGATGCGAATTTCTTAATGATATAAAAGATACGTAAATATTTTATGTTTTTTAGCTAAAAATACGTAGCGATTTGCACGTTTTAAATGTTGAAATACGTCTAAATTGTACGTTTTAGCATCAATAAAAATTTACAAAAATTAAAATTTTGTGCTTGTAAATGTTACGTATTAATACCTACGTATAAACGAGACCAGGCTGGACCTGACCCAATCGCAATTCTTTATATATGCCTTTTATATTCTCTCTGTATATATTGTATCGTTAACTGTTCATTTTGTATCTGCATCTCTTTCAGCAAAATAATATATATACAAAACATGAAAAATATTTTAAAGGTCTAGTCATTATCTTAATCACTTGGTGCCCCCTTATTGGTTAGTGCCCCAGGGCACTCGCCCAATCCCGTCTATGGATAATCCGGCCCTGGTTGTCTTAATAGCACAGCTTTCTTTAGTTCATGCCACAGCATCACAGTTGTCTTAAGTTCAGGACTCAAGAAAACATTTCTTTATTTTTTTTCAGCCATTCTTTAGTAGGTATTACTTGTGTGCTTTGAATCATTTTCTTGTTGCATCACCAAACCTCTGTAAAGCCTGAAGTCATGAACTGCTGTCTCAACATTCTCCAGTGAAATGTCTTGATACATTTTATAATTCCTTGTTACTTCAATGAGTGCAAAATATCCAGACCTTGAGGCAGCAAAGCAGCACAGCTGGAAAGAGGTGTTAGTGTGCCCTTTTTCTTGTAATAGACACTGTACATTTTTGCCATAAAGTTCAACATTTCTCTCAACTGTCCACAGAAGCAGTGTGGATCATCCAGGTTGCCCATCTTATAAGGCAAATATAAGACATGCCTCAATAATACAGTATACAGTATATATATATATTTTTTAGCATTTTCTAGCTGTAATGTTTTTTTTTTATT